TTGTTTGCTCAGCAAAGAGAATGCAGAGTTGTATCCGCCAGAGACAATAGAAGGGCTGGGAGCCTCCACAGAACTTTTTCAGTGAAACAGTGTCAACATGTACTCACAACACTACTGTAGGTTAGAAGAATTATGCTTTTCATACGTGGCTTTCTGTTCTAAATTTGTACAATCTTAATATATAGCTTTAACTGGCATTTTGTATTTTTTCTCTTTTTACATAGGGGGCAACCCCCCACTCACAGGCAGCTTTAGTAGCCAGAAAGCGTGAGCACTACGCTAACCAATCTCCCATTTTCTGGGGGCAGGAGCAGGCTGGAGGTGCAGGGTCTCTGCAGGGTGATGAGTGAGGAGGCTGGGGATGCAGGATCTTGGTGGAAGGCAAATGAGAGGGAGTGGGAAGTGCGGGGTCTCTGCAAGGAGATAAGTGAGGGAGCTTGGGTTGTGGGGTCTCCACAGGGTGATGAGTGAAGGGAGGCTGTCAGTTATGAATAAACTTCAATTTGTTTTCTTGCTTTGTCTACTCTTCACCCCCCTCCCCACACACACACTTTCGTATTAGAATTAGAGTCTGCAACAATTTTAGATAATATCAACAATAATAACTGGTATATTTCCCAATGTTTCTACAAAGAAATTCATTAATAAAACAAAATAGTAATTCCTATAATGAAAATATAGAAGATAATATAGCACCAAATTTGGTGTTTTCTGCACATTAACATTTGTGCAGTGCTTTGAAAAATGGAAAGCTTCAGTATATATTTTAAGTAATCATCTTACTAGGAAGGCATTTATAACATTATTTCATTACATACCAACATTGTAATTTGAACTGGAAACTGGAAATATTTGAGAGTACTTTTTGTAGTCAACTAATTTTACACAAAACAAATAAAATAAGTCAGTGGTATTTAATTTATGACTCAATCATAGTCCAAAAGATTCATTTTAATAATTAAATTGTTCCTGTCCCCTATTGTTGCAGTGATTTAACTACCTCACTCAGTAAGGGTACGTCTAGACTACCGCGTTTTGTTGACGGAAGTTTTGTTGACAGATACTGTCGACAAAACTTCCGTCGACAATTTGCGTCCAGACACATGGAGTTCTGTCGACAAAGCAAGCTGCTTTGTCGACAGAACTCCGTAGTCTGGACGCAGTGTTACAGGCAATAACACCTTCTGTCGACAGAACTCTGTCGACAGAAGGTGTTTTGCCTCGTAAAATGAGGCATACCAGCGTCGACAAAACCGCGGAGTTCTGTCGACGTTATGTCGACAGAACTCCGCGGTAGTGTAGACGCTGGGTTTGTTTTGTCGACAAAAGTCCACTTTTGTCGACAAAACTAGGTAGTCTAGACACACCCTAAGAGAACTAAAAGAAGAGAATGAAAGGGTTTTTTTTTTCCTGTAGACCACTGACAAGACTATATTTCTCATATATAACATTATTACTTACTAATGTTCAAGAAACTACATATTCATCCCTAAATACAGGGCATTTGGTAATTTTTAAGTCTTGCATCAGGACAATTAAAAAATACAGTAGAGTCATATCAGGTTAAATGTTCCTAGTTTACAGAAGTACAAATATTCTCATAGAATGGTATTTTTAGACTACATTTTCCAAATAATAAAGAAATGTTAGCTACAAAGTAGAAAGTAAAGAATTTCTCCAGCACAAACATTTGAGGATACTTTACTTTATTTACTTTACACACATAGATGGAATACAAGCTGTCAGCAACAGTATCCCTGATGACACCATGGCACAACTGATGGCCAAGCTCTGTGACTTTATCCTCACCCATAGCTATTTCAGATTTTGGGATAATTTATATCTTTAAACCAGTGCACCGCTATGGGCTCCCACATGGCCCCACAATATGCCAATATTTTTTATGGCTGACCTGGAACAACGCTTCCTCAGGTCTCGTCCACTAGCGCCCCTTCTCTACTTACACTACATCGGGGTGGGCAAAAGGGCCTCCGTGGGATGGATCTGGCCCACCAAGCAGGTGGATCCGGCCCTCGGAGGCCCTGCTGCTCCCCCGCCCCCAGGCCAATTAAGGCCTGGGGGCGGGGGATCACCTGAAGCCTCCTCCGCTCTGCCCCTGCCCTGCGAGCAGCGTGCACCGCTTCAAAGCACTGCGTGCTGCTCGCAGGATGGGGACAGAGCAGAGAAGGCTTTGCATGCTTCCCTGCCCCTAGGTGGCCTAGGGGTGAGGAGAATGCGTGAAGCCTCCTCCTGCCCTGCCAGGAGCACATGGCACTTTGAAGCGCTGCGCGCTGCTTGCAGGGCAGGGGGGAGAGCAGAGGAGGCTTTGAGTGCTCCTCCACCCTCAGGCCAATCAGGGCCTGGGTGGCAGGGGAGCTGTGTGAAGCTTCCTTCACCCTGCCCCGGCCCTACAAGGAGCCCGTGGCACTTCAAAGTACCACATGCTCCTCGCAGGGTGGGAGGAGGCTTCGTGCATTCTCCTCACCCCTAGGCCAATTAAGGTCAGCCTGGGGGTGGGGAAGCATGCTAAGCCTCTTCCAGGGCATGGATGCCTAGTAGGAAGGGGGACAAAGGGGCTTCCCCACTCCTAGACCAATCATGGTCTGAGGATGGGGTGGCCCTGCCCCTTCCTGTTTAGGCCCCACCCCTTCTGGGGTGCCACACGGGCAAAAAGTATTGCCCACCTCTGCACTACTTTGATGACATCTTCATCATCTGGACCCATGGGAAGGAGGCTCTGGAAGAATTCCACGGTGATTTCAACAGTTTTCACCTCACCATCAACCTCAGACTGGACCAGTCTACACAAGAGATCTACTTGCTGGACACTTCAGTGCGAATAAGTGATGGTCACATAAATACCACCATATACCGAAAATCTACTGATCGCTATGTTTACCCACATGCCTCCAGCTTCTATCCAGGACACACCACATGATCCACTGTCTACAGGCAAGCATTAAGGTACAACTGCATTTGCTCTAACCCCTCAGACAGAGACAAACACCTACAAGATCTTCACCACGCATTCTTAAAACTACAATACCCACCCGAGGAAGTGAGGAAACATATTGACAGAGCCAGACGTGTACCCAGAAGCCTCCTTCTACAAGACAGGCCCAATAAAGAAAACAACAGAACACCACTGGCCATCACTTACAGTCCTCAGCTAAAACCTCTCCAACGCATCATCAGAGATCTACAACCCATCCTGGACAATGATCCCTCACTCTCACAGACTTTGGGAGGCAGGCCATTCCTCACCTACAGACAGCCCCTCAACCTGAAGCAAATTCTCACCAGCAACTATACACCACATCACAGTAATTCTAACTCAGGAACCAATCCCTGTAACAAACTTCAGTGCCAACTCTGCCCACATATCTACACGAGCGACACCATCACAGGACCTAACCACATCAGCCACACCATCACGGGCTCATTCACCTGCTCATCTAGCAATGTAATATATGCCATCATGTGCCAGCAATGCTCCTCAGCCATATACATTGGCCAAACCGGACAGTCCCTACGTAAAAGAATAAACCGACACAAATCAGATAACAGGAACGGTAACATATAAAAACCTGTAGACAAGGGTAGGACTCGCTGAAGATCCTCCCCACCCCCATCCCCCGCCCCCAATTCATACAGGGACACTGCAAGCTGTTCCCTTCATCAGGGAGTGAGAGAAAGTGCACAGTTTGCTGCATTCCTCAGTTTGCTGGGGAGCTCAGCAGGCAGATGAACCTGAACATGGACATGCACTACCTCCCCCAGTTGTGCCTACTAGAGCTGCAACAGCAATGGAGAGGCGCGTCTCACCTGGCTTCAAGCTGTTGCAGTGAGAGAGGACTACTGTTGTTCCAAACAACAAAAATTAATTAAGGGGCGAGTAAATTTTCCAGTAAAAAATGTTACAACTTAAGCAAGAAAAATACATATTTTTAGTATAGAACAAAACCAAGTTCCAGTATTGTAATGTTCAATTTACATCTGAATTCAGACGTAAATATAAACATAAAAGTTTTCCATACATACTACCCAGCAATCCTATTGACCAATGTTAATGCTTTGCATATCTGACAAATACTTTTTCAAAAAGTTCCTTACCGTGATTCTCTTCATATCTAGTTGTCGGAGCTGCATCATATGATGGAGAATAGTGTTCTTGTAGCATGTCTCCTGAGCTATTGGATTTCCATCAAGAGTGATATCAGACAGGGATGAGGAATCAGCAAGGCACAGAATGTTGTCAAAACTGCACATACAAAAAGGCAGATGCGTCATTATATAAAAGTCCCAAAATAACGGGGAGGATCTTCAGCTTGTCCTACCCTCCTGAAAGGTGCCTGTGGAATGGGAGCTTAGGGCTGGGCTCAGGTTGTGATAGATGACCAAAGGCCCATGATAACAAATTGATGTATATGATAATAAGTTGAAAGCAATGATATATTGACCTATAGGAAAAGAACACTTCAACATTAGAAACATCCCCTATTGAATATGCATCAAACATGTCAGTGTCAGCATCACATATTAAAAAAGTGGGACCCCAGCCTAGGGGCGATAGGAAAAAGAAGATATAGTCCTTGGAAGGGCCAGAATGATGGCCCTTGGTGATGATAGGGAAGGTGAAGGTAATGAGACAAGTGATCGGCTAACACCTAAGATTGTTGTAGAAGGAATGATGTAAGTATGTGGTACGGAAATATGGATGTACATTCCCTATCTTATAAAATTGGGGTGTTTGTTACTGTGCTAACTGTATTGATAAACTGTATTTGTAAATATACAAGAGTTTCTATAGTGTTAGTGTTGCAACTGTGCACATCAGAGTTCTCAACCACAGAATAACTGAATACAGCCTCTCCGTGAGTTAAGAATGAGTTACGGACCAAACACTTGGCCATAACTCAAAATGTTCGTAACTCGGACCACATTGAGTTACACTGCGACTGCGCTGTTCAAAAACATGGGTCACGTTCGTAACTCGGGGACCGCCTTTACGACCACTCAATGGGTGTTTTGGTTATAAATGCGAATGGTCGTAAATTCAAAAATATTTTGTACACGTTTGTACCAGGTTCATTAATATAATGAGCACTATAATAATCATTTTTACTGACTTTAAAAGATATTCTATGGTACTCTCTCAGCTCAATTACCAAGTGAGAATAAGCATGAGTAAGACAGACATGAAGCAAACTATGGCATCAAATTCTTTAATGTTATTTAAGTTATGTAATCAAATTATTTTATAACAATAAAATAATGTATTTCTATTTTTACTACTCATCAAATATTTTGTTTAAAATTAATGTCTCATAAAATACCTTGGGTATGCTTTATTAGACTATGAATTGCTTAAATATGCCATTATGCAATTCTAACATTGATCAGGTTAGATTTTTGCTGGATGTAATACTGAAAAAAAATTATTTTAAGCTTATAAAAACGACTAGAGTCAAAACTCAGTTACAGAATCTACGTGGTTTAAAATTATAAATAAATACAATTTAAAATTAAAGGGTATTTCCTCAGTTAGTGACCTGCTAAACTAATGTGCCTTTTCCTCTACACTTGGCCATATCAAAACCACCTAAACCTGGAAAAGGAATTCAGAGAATATAGCCCCAAGTATTATGATTGGTGTTTCTGATATGATCCAATTGCTGGAGGAGAAACAAACATGAACTTTTATTATTATAAAAAGAATCTCAATTAACCTTTAAAGCTAATCAGTTTATTGGAAAAAATACAGTGCAATATGGGGCTCATCTCCATAAACATTTCCTCCTGAATAACTTCATTTATATGAGCAACCTCATCAATTTCAGTGGGATTATTCATGCTTGCAAACTTCTTTAGGATCAGGCCAATAGTCTGCAACACATTATGACTACCTACCTGGTAATTTCATAACTCAAAAAATAATGTATTTTCAGTAAAGTTATTATTTATTACAAAAATTGCTTCCTTCTAAAAGCTTGTTATATATCTATAAATAATACAAAATTGTTCACAAGCTTACATCAATGATATTACTGTTGATGAGAGAAAATGCTGTGAGGCACAATATGAAAACCTGAACAGACATATTTGTGGACTGGAATTATAAATTCATTAAAATAATTCCTCCTTCACTTACCAGACGAAACTGGTTCTGTGATTTTCTTGCAACAGTTAACAACATACACATTTTAAGAATCAATCATGCACCATTCAAATAATGAAAGTTTTTGTTATTAATTTCACTGGGAGCAGAACTAAGCCACTCAAAGAGGAAAGCAAAATTATACTTGTTTTATGTGCTGCTGGTTTGATATTATTTACAATATTGTATTTAGAAGTCTGCTAAACTTAAAAATGAATAATAAACACTCAATTAACATCTAATAAAAGATGGAATGGAACTATACTTAATCCTATTAGGAGATCTCTTAGGACAGGAAATTATGTAATAAGGATCTCTTGGGAAGGTCTCTGTATATTGTTACTGATCTGAAATCTTAAATATAATCCCCCTGAAATGGTATAAATTAGTTGTACAGGATATTTTGTATTACACTTGAACCTCTTTAATCTGGCAAACCTGGGAAACAGGGTAATGTAGGATTAAAGAATTTTCCAGGCAATGAAGGGCACTGCAGAATCTGGGTATCAGGGAGATATGGGTGAGGCTTAAATGGTGCCCCACTCCCAGGGACACATGTGGCTCTATGCATCCCACTACTCCCAGGCACTGTCACCCACTACGGGAGCGGCAGGGAAAAGCCTCAAGAGCACTGCATCCCTGCTCTGGCACTCCCCCAGATGGGGAGAAGGAGGAGTGGCAATGAACAAAGCTGCTTCCTCCTGCCCCTGCTAAGGGTCATACCACAGGTGCTCCTGGATCAGGGACCCCTGGAGTACAGAGGTTCAAGCTCACTGCTTCCCAGGTTATATCAGTGCATTCTTCTATAATCATTCTGCTAAACATTAACTAACCCCCCCCCCCACACACCAGTTTTTAACTCTTACAGATGCACAACTTCAGTCTGATGCTCTCCTTTACAAAAAGTAAGAAGTGGATTTTATTTCTAATGCACAAAAAAGCTCAAGCTTATGTTTAAAAATAAGTTATTGGCCCCAGAAGTGGAGTTTGAGGAAGTCTTGAACTCTAAACACAGGGTACTCTTGGCTGGAATATTTAGTGGGGGAGGGTTCTTAGATTATATCTTTTGTTTGAAATCTGACATGGCTATCATGGCTCCCCATGGCATTTCAAAGCAGCAGCACTGAACAGAGCCCGGGGTCAGCTGGGGAGTCCCCAGATAATCCTGGGCTCCACATGGCATTTCAAACTGGCAGTGTTGCACAGAGCCCGGAGTCCCCAGCTGATCCCGGGCTCCGTGCAGCGCTGCCGCTTTGAAGTATCCTCCACTTCTCTCCTTCCTGCTTGCTGCCTCTATCTGATAAACGGGTGGGGGGGGGCGGGAGGAAAGGAAGTTACTAGTCAATAAGAGCATTTGCTTATCAGATAGTCGACTGGTCCTTCACATCCCTATTCCCCAGAGATCCATGTGGAGAGCTGGGGCTGCCTGTGGCCCCAGCCCTCCCCTCCCCTTCCCAGAGCCCTGGGGAAGAGCCAGAGCCACTGTGGTTGCAGCCTTGGTCCAGACCTCCCCGGTGGCAGAGGGGGTAAAGAGAAAAGGAAGCCATGGCTTGGCCCCTCCCGGTGGCCATGGGGAATAGCTGGGCCCAGCGCTGCTTCGGCTTGGCCCCTTCTGGCAGCGGAGGACAGAGCCAGGGCCCTGTGGCTTTTAGCCCG